TCTTGCGGCTTGAGAATCATGCCGGGCACATGTGCATGTGTGCTCCAAATCCCAGGAGGAGAGTGGGAGAGAAGGGGTTGCAGTGTGGCCATCTCCCCTGGGGGGTGATTTCTCACTTCCCCCATGTCTCTGTCTGTTTTTCTCCAGTGAGCATATGCACCCTATGGCAAAAACCTGAAAAAAAAAAAAAAGAAAAAGAAAAAGAAAGAAAAAGAAATAGGTGATCAACTAGGAAGATGTAAGGAAATGAAAAGGAAAAGGACCAGAAAGACAAAGTAGAGAGAAACCGAAGTAAAAGCCTTGCTCAGGAAGATGCAGGCACCACGTAGTAAAAGCATGTGCGATTCCTCAGCCTGGAGAGTCACGTCTACACTCAGTTTCTAAGTTGGCCCAGAATTCCTCTGGTATTTTCCGTCTCCTCTTTCAACACCTTTCCTGGAATCCCCTTACCCCTTAGCCACTTTGCCTCCTTCCTTTTCCTTAGTACTCTCAGCTAAGGTTTAAAATATTAAACCTTCCAAGGATTTTTCCCCCCAATAAAGAGGCCTCCTGAGGACTGGACAGCCTTTAGAGCACCATGATGAACCTAGGTAGGGAGTCGAAGATATACGGTGGATTCAGGAAAACTTTATAGTGTTTCCAATGTGTTTTGTCTGTTTCCCAACCGTTTCCCATCTTTTCTCACCTCTCTGCACCTGGACGTGCCCATTTTTTCTGAACAGCAGGGAAGAAGTGCAGTATTAACACGGCGTGGTGGCCAGGGACACGGGTTCTGAAGTGGAGGCCTCTCCCCTCCCCGCTCTGGCTTGTGTTAGCAGCTCCACCACTTGGAGTCTGGGACAGTGCCGTGGACACGGTTTAATCATTCAGGACACACTCCAGATCATGGACATGATTTGCATAAAAGGGAGTATCTGGTTACCTTCTCGTGCCATGTTCATTTGCAGGTGACTAACATCCTGCTTACACAGTGACACATGATCGAGTGGAGTCTAGTCTGCAGTTGAGAAATTTCCTTTCACAAGAACTGCATTACGTAGAAGGACAGACCAAGCCAAATGTCTGAACGGAGCACTCACAAACTCACTTCACAAAGTCAGATAGCTTTTGGTTAAGCAGAGATTTAAAATGTACTTCAGCTCCTGGAGAGAAATGTTCTTATTCCTTAAGAAAGAACGATACCTTATTCTAACATGAATTCTTGCCACAGACAGAGATCTCTCATTCTGCCACACTCTTCTTCCCAGGGTAAGCTTTCTTTGTACAGCATCCCTGAGAGGGAGAGCTCCTGGGGGCTTCTGACCTCAGGAGGCAGTAGCGTACTTCTGGTTTCATTTTCAGAAAGCTTGTCACGTGTTAAGTCTGCCTGTCAGTACTTTTAGTGATTGGTTATGAAGCTCTGTGCTCGAGAGGAGCACACAGATGTGTAGCTTGTGCTGCTTACAAGATGCCTTCAGGTTTTTGGAAATACCTATTATGACTCCCAGTAGTTTCTTTGTTTTTTGTTTTTGAATTCTTCAACGTAAATATTTTGCTATGTCACCTGTTTCTAATGACAAACGACTTTTAGATTAGTCAGTCTTATTATCGTTCCATATGATCTGTATTTAACAGCACCCAACACAAAATTAGGCATCCAAAGTTGGATGTAATCTTTCAGTTGTACTTTTATCATTTGGGTTTTTGTCATTTAAAAAAGTCGTCATAAATGATGCCTTTAATTTGTCCTTAGACCGCCCTGATTTTGGAACCAGGTATGTTGTGGCTCATGAACTCTCAGATCTTTTTCACAAGAACGCATATCTCCCTGGACCGCTTGTACATCTAATTATTTTAGCATAATTGCAGGGCTTTTCGTTATTCTTCCTTAGACGTAATGAAGTGATTTTGTCTGTCTCTGACTTATACATCACACAGCTGGAAGCCTTTCAGACCTGGTCACTACTCCATTGGACACCAGAAGCTTTGAGATCAATTGTCAAGCTTCTAGCCTTAGAGGTGACTTCTGTAGAAATTAAATTTGGAATTTTGACTGAGCATTTGAGAATTTTAATTCATTGCTAGTAGCTACATGAAGTCAAATGCTTGGACTGCCAAGCTCCGCCCACTTGTGTGTGTGTGTGTGTGTGTATGTTTAGGGGGAGGGGGTTGTATATTTTGTTGATGTAAAAAATATAGCCTCCCAGTGGCATGGTGATCGTAGCAACTGGATTCCATGTGGCTGACTGTGTGGTTTGAGTCCTGGACCTGCGGCTTAAGGCACACACTGGGCACATGTACATGTGTGCCCAAATCCCAAAGGGAGAGAGAGAGAGAGAGAA